CGCTGGGGTTTAAGCGCAGTCAGCATTAACGTGGAGAGAACTCGGGGATTGTAACATGTACATGTTTATTATATCCAAGTTCGTGGGTGACGATTATTTACGCTGAAGTGGTCAGGTCATAATGCTTGGGTAATGTTTTTACATAGAACCATAAGGGGAGTGGACGTTGTGTCTGATTCTAACGTACCCACCAAAACAGAAAAGAGAGATATTTCCTACAGAGATACAGTGTATGCATGAAATTTTTTTTTTTTTCAAACGTCAAAGTGAACAGAACCCCAAAAGGAGGCCCTTTAAGCAGATTTAAGTATTCATACAGGGGGTTTGCCACCCCTATGCACATTGCAATATAGCCAGGAGCTTTCTTATTGGCGCAATCTCAATTTCCCTTGAATTTGGACTAATTAATTTGGGTACGCACTGTGGCTAAGTTGTTGTTTGTTTTATATCGCAACATTGTCGTGACTGTGCAAAAGATATTGTAATTTATGCGCACAAATATTATTTGCGGTCACCTCAACTGTTTTGTGGAAGTTGATGGCGTCATTAGAATATTGATAAAAACTTACCCAGGGAAATACACACTGCAAACCAAACTGCGACAAATATTGACACTGGATCACAATAAACGTTGTATTCTCAATTTGGAAATCTATGAGATACCACCACCCCCTGATATGTATACTTGTGTACACTATAAAATATTGAATTTATAGATGGATAATGAGAATTCAGTAAACATTCAGTTACATTGCGGTTATGCTCGTCTAATGGACAATAACTTTGAGTTCTCTGAGTACTCTGAACAGGGAATATGTAGCAAGTATATATTATATTTTTTTTGGTAAAAACAACATATTTTTCAGATACTTTACGTTTTTAGCTTATTCCGGTAGTAATGTTTCACACACATGCAAAGTGTGAATGTAATTACAAACGATTTAAACAACAAGCCATGCATGGCACAGTCCCCGTCAAACCAATATATCTGTTTATCTATGACATGATGTATAATGAATATTTAAAATTTGAAAATATTATCAGTCAAAACAAGTCGGAGATATGGGTCTAGAAGCCCATTCATTAAAACAAAATGGCCGCCAGACAGCCATTTTGAATCCGATCTGAAAAATAAATAATGTGCATCAGGAACCTGTAATGTCTAATATATGTACCAAGTTTGAACGAAATCCATCCATAAATGCCAGAAATGCTTGATATTTGATGATATTTTAGCACAAAAAAGGCCACCATTTGGCCATTTTGAATAGGATCGTCAAACCAATATATCTGTCTATCTATGACATAATGTATAATGAATATTTAAAATTTGAACATAATCAGTGAAAGCAAGTCAGAGATATGGCACGAGAACCACATTCATTAATACAAAATGGCCGCCAGTCGGCCATTTTGAATCTTATCTGAAAAACAAAATTATTTGCATCAAGGTCCCATAATGTCTAATGCATATACCAAGTTTGAACAAAATCCATCTGTAAACAGCCGAGAAATGCTTGATTTTGATGATTTTTAGCACAAAAATGGCCGCTATTCGGCCATCTTGAATCAGATCGTGAAACAAATTGACGTGCATATGTATTATATCATGTATGATGTATGTGTGAAGTTTGATTGTGATTGGTCAAGGCATTTCTAAGATACAGGTCCGGACGCACGCACAGACGCACGCACGCACGGACACACGGAGGTCAAAACATAAGTCCCCGTTTTCGACTGCGTCCGAACGGGGACTAATTAAGTTCCGTCTTTACATTGAACAGGGAGATAAAGCCAAAGAGGTCCTTCAGAGTAACCCACTAACATTATCGAGTGAAGACGCTGCCGAGCTGAGTGAGCGTGTTATGGAGAGAAAAATATCAGAAATAGCCGAGATATACGATGGATATATTGACGATAAAGGTAGGCGGTTTTACTATACCAAACTGCATGTGTCTCCACATGGAGGAGTACATACACACTGTTGGCAGCACTAAGCATTAAACATTAGTTCGAAGCCCAGACAGTTGAAATGGTCACTACCTGAATGTGTGACTAGATGTATACGTCACACCATGTCTGTCTCATGATATATTCACGCACAAAATGGATGGAATTTAACAATTGCAGATCTATATTTATCTCTTTAGGTAATCGTAATTTCCAGACATTTGATCAGCTGACACTGGCGCAGAAAACCGTGATTGCATCCATATTCTATCAGTACGGGGCTACCAGGAAAATACCGACATTGTGGAAACAACTCACAAATCAGTGGTGGAAAAATGCCGCGACGAATCTGAGAAATTTTGATGACAAGTTTCCGGAGAGACGGAAAGCAGAAGCTGAATTGCTGACAAGCGATGATGGCGCACTTTCACTACATTAATAACCTCCTTGAATATTTCACATCAGGACTCAACTCATTATTGTAATGCGCTAATATATTACTTTGGTGAATGTGACACAATGTCGTGATATGTTCAGAATAT